AAAAAATTCATGACCACCAAACCAACCCTTCAAAAACCAATGAAAGATATTCTAGAAAAAGATAAAAATGACCACAATTCCAAGAACAACAATAGAAAGGAACTACCAAGCAGGGTAAGTAATTAAACAGAGGGGAAAAGTATGGAACCAACAGTAGGAAAATAACATGACAAATAAACCAATGCATATTAGTTATAACCATCAATGTAAATGGCCTCTATTCACCAATTGAAAGAAACAGACTGGCTGAATGGATCAAGAAACTAAATCTAACAATATGCTGTATACAAGAAACACATTTAACTCAAAAAGAAAATTCATAGACTAAGAATGAAAGGATGGAAAACAATACTCCATGCAACAGGAACACAGAAAAAAGCAGGGATAGCTATTCCGTTTGCAGACAATGTGAACTTTAAGCTTTAAAGAATGATCAAAAGATATAAAGATCACTACATACCTGTTAGGGGAAATCTGCAAGAGGAAGAGATAACAACCATAAATATCTATGCACCAAATACAGGAGCAGCCAACTATATAAGACAAATATTTATAGACATTAAAAATCAAGTCAGCAATAACACAATCATTGGTGTTCCGCCCAACAACATCAGAATACATGTTCTTCCCAGCTGCACACGGGAAATTCCCTAAAATAGACCACATACTAGTCCATACAACATGCTTAAGTAAATACAAAGTAATTGAAATTATCCCACGCATATTATCTGACCATAGTGAAATGAAACTGGAAATTATTGACAAAAGAAATGGCAAAAACTCCATAAATACATGGAAATTAAATAACACCCTCCTGAACAACCAACACTGTGAAAATGGCCATACTCCCAAAACTGTTATACAGATTCAGTGAAATCCCAATCAAAATACCATTAGAACACCTCATAGATCTAGAGAAAACATTACTAAAATTAATCTGGAACCAGATGAGACCTAGAATACAAAAGCAATCCTGGGCAACAAATGTAAGGCAGGAGGCATCACAATCCCTGATTTGAAATTATATTACAAAGCTACTGTGATAAAATCAGCATGGTACTGGCAAAAAAACAGACACAAGGATCAATGGGACAGAGTAAATGTACACCCAGCTACAAACACACTCAACCACTTTATCTTTGACAGAGGGGCAAAATACATTCACTCAAAAAAGATAACCTCTTTAGTAAATGGTGCTGGAAAAACTGGCTTTCCACAT